CATTATTTTCTGGGTATTTTAAATCTCTGGACCTACTTGCTTTCATTTCTGGCTGAACATAGGCAAAATGTTTATTTAGAACTGGATATTGTGTTCAGTTCTACTTGCTTTGTCTCTCCCTGCCTATTTTACAGAAAAACTACAAACCAGCAATCACACCCCCCCTGCATGTTCTCTTTATGGGCTGCTTCAGTTCAAAAAATGGAGAAAAAAAAGTTTAGCTCACGTTAGTCAAGTACTGTAACAACAACTTCAGGTCTGCGGCTGGAAAGCAGCGTAGCAATGTGGTGAGGAAGAGAAGACATGTAGAAGCTGCAATATTCTGGACAGCTTTCATCTCCCTGTTGCTTTCCTCCTGCAGCGTGCAGGGTGTGGAGGTAAGGAACGGCTGGAGCTGGATGGGATGTTTGTCTGCAGTGCTGGAGCCGCAGGGGCTGGCCTTGGTGTTGGCAGTGTCAGGCGCAGTCCTAGGATGAGCTGGTGTTTGTTTGTGAACTTGGTGCTTTTCCTGACATTTTGGTAAAGAAGTCTGACAGTTGTCTCTGCTGATAGTATCTGAAGATGCAAAATAGGAACTTTTATCTCCAGCGGTTGGCAGAGTGCAGTAAATCATTCTAGGGAGATGAAGCAATGCTCTTTAGCAGATACAATACATGGATCACGTTCAATGTCATCTTCATTTGGGTACAGTACCCAGTACTGCTGTCATCACCACCAAGGTTACACAGCCTCTGTTGGGCAGCTGCAGGGTGTTTTTAGAAGCAACCATGAGGGCCAGTTACAGTTTTGGTATTTGCTCTGGCCAGAGCTCTTACAGCTCATGGATACCTGGGTCCTGGGTCAAGTTTCTGTTCCGTGATGCTGGGCCCATCACTGATGCAAATAATTCTTGGTGTTCCTAAGGAAGAGCAGGAAGCTCACATGTGCTGCCTTTGCTACATGACTATTGAAAGTGTATGCTCTGACACACACAAGTGTGTGTGTGTGTATATATATTTTTAAAGTGTATATAGATACAAAAAAAAATCTATGTATGTATACTCACACACAGCAGTAGCAGACTCTGTAGCCAAAGCTTTTTGAAAATTTGAATATTAAATCCAGTGCTTTTTTAAAAAAAAAAAAATAAATTGATGAAGCAAAAGCTTTGACACCATTTCAGATGATGGCCAAGGAAAATGCAGGGAGGTTAAGGGCCTTTACTCAGGGCTTGCTGTAGGATTTTATGATCCCAAAACAAACAGGCAATTGAGCAATTGCCTTTCAGTGAGGTAAACTCACCAAAAAGCAATTTTAGGCTGAAGAGTTGAAGAACATCAGTTTTGGCTCTGGCAGAGCAGATCCCTTCCTCAGTGGGACAGCACCTGGGATGGCTCCGTCCTGCTCAGAAAACACAGTTTTGGAGTGATTCATCTTTTTCCCTTTGAATTTCTGCTGCGTCTGTCTCCCTCAATCTGCTTACCCAGCGCGAGTTCTTGATGAGACAGGCAGCTGCCATGAATGTGGCATGAGGGGAGGAAAAAGATGTGCACAAGGTGGAAGTGTGTGTGTGTGTCCTTCTGCAGCAGGCTGGTTGTGGCCAGGAGACGTGCTGGTATGGAGAGCCAGGGTGCGTGTGATACGTGCAGTGGAGTGAACATTTACTGTTGTTTGCAGGGTTGTTGTTGAAATGCCTTATTTAAACTGAAGACAAATATTTTCTAGGGGTTGGTGGTGCTGCAAAGAACAGGTTTATGAACAGATTTTATGAAGTTATTTCTACTCATTTTCCAACTGAGAGGACGGAGAAGGTTTTGAGACTGTTTGTTTGTTTGTTTGCAGTGTGGTTGGTCCCCTCTTGCTGAATGAGTATGGACCTTTGTGCTGCTAGAAACATGTACAAATATTTTTTTCATTATAAATTCCTCTCCGCAGCTTTTAATAAGCTCAGCGTCTGTGCAGAGTGGGTATTGTAATAAATCAGCTGCTACCGTGCAAAAGCAGAGTTACTTCTTTTGCTTAAATCAAAAAGATGCTCTTGCAGAGCATGTTTAAACTGTTCTTTTTTAGCAAAAGGCATTAACTTTGCATTTCATACCAAGACTTCCAAAGCTCCTGACTCTTATCCCAGACAGGTTTAAATACAAGATAATCTGCAAAGGAGGGTTAGCATAAATTATTTTCTTCAAAGGTAAATGCTATATAAAAGGAAAAGTTAATCCTTGAAGCTAATTTTTATTCTGGATATCAAGTCAAGAAGAGTTCTTCTGAACAGATTTTTATTAAGGTTTTTATAGGTTATCAACTAGTATGTATGTTTTTAACAAACTGTGTTTGTAATAAACTAACATCTACTTTGTTTCTATATCCATTTTAATCAGAATTTAACTGATGAGAGGCCTTGTATGTTTGGTTTCAGCCATCCTGTTATTTATTTAACTAACAGTCTGACTCAGAAGAATTTTCATCTTCACCACAATTGCACAAGGACAGGAAATGTCAAAGTGTTGAAACTGTGGCAATTTAAGTAAGTTCAGGTATTTCATAATCCCTTAGCCTAGAGATGTGCTCTTCTACCACTGTGAGGAGAGGACTGTCAGCCTTCCAAACGTAATTGCTTTCAGGCCTGGGAAGCTGCAAGACAGTAGGAACTTTTAAAACCTTATGTGCTTAAAGCCCTTCTATAACACTAACTCCTCAGAAAAACAGTCTGTGATTTTTATTTTTTTTTTAATGTACAAATTTTATGGTACTCTCCCAGATTTAAATGATGAACTGGCAACAAGGATTATGATCCTTAGACGTAAAATGATTAACGTGGTAATTCCAGTAGCAATGCAAGAATTTTTAAGCATAAATATCTTTATAAAATTAAGTGTTCATTACTTGTCATTGTACCTCTTTTGCCTCAGATTTGTGGGAATTTTGTTTTCTTCTGTTGTATGAGACAAAAATCCAAATGTAGCCTAGCAATTTCCTTGGTCCCCACCTGCTCTGTTTCCGTGGCAGCTCTTAGCAACCTGCTATGCCGTATAAAGACTGTGAGGGGCTGTGGTGTCTGGCAGTGACTAGGGGGTTGTGGACTTTCCAACTCTCTTCCAAACATCTCTTGCATTGTTGCCTGAAATTGCAGAGGACTGAGCCTGATGATCCATTCAGCTGTTTCTGGGTCTGTGCCAGGGCTGCTTTGCCAGTTTCAGTTCTGAAGTACAACCAGCGTTGTTGCACTGAACATTTTCACCATCCTCCATAGTCCCTACAAAATACTTTAAAGCAACATTTTTTGAGGACTGTTGATGCACCTGCAATACAAACTTGGTTACTTAACACACAGTAGCTGTATGAGTTTGGGGTTTTTTTGTTTGTTTGTTTTTTTGTTTGTTTTTCTGCAAATTGCAATGTTACTATGGGCCTCTCCCCTCTGAAACATCCAGCCCTGGTGGAAGAAGGGCTATAGCTGAAGAGATCCAGGTGAGTAAGAGCCAGGCCTTTCCTCTCACTGAGCTGCAGCAGACTCTGGTCAGCTGTGCTGTAAATGGGCTGTCTGATATGTAACTAATTTATCAGACACCTCTGAGCCAGGAGACAAATATTATCTTCATCCTACAGATGGTAGAATTAAGATGCAGATCTTGTTTCACAACTGTAGCTAAAAATAAGATTCAGATTGTTCTGTGTTAAATTCAGATCAATTACTTTTTTTGAATTAGAAATCATCCAGAACAGCATTGCACCTAAAAACTTGAAAAACCATTTGATTTATTTGTTATATTTACACATTTGTCTTCAAGCTAAAATTCTAACTTTTTGGAATGTTTTTGTGTTACCAACTCTAGTTTTAGCCCTTGGCACCTTTTTACTATTTAACAAGTATTTTAATATAAGTAGTTCTTCCCTTAGCTCGGTAAGTAGATCAGTGTTAAAAGTTCAGCTATACACTGTGCCTGGAAAAGAATTCACCTCACTAACTGGTCACTTCATATTTCTTTCAAATTGTTCTTAATCAAGTCTTGTAATAAATAATGACTAATACCAACATGACAACGCTGTTTTTTCAAATTGTTCATTTGCCAGTTTTAACAAGATAAAGAAATTAATACTCAGTGTGGACACTGTTTTACCAAAAAAAAAAACAGAAACCAAAACAAAACCCACCCCATAACCCCAGAACAACGACCAACACCCCAAAACAAACAGACAAAGAGGAGGACACGAAGGAACACACATGGAATGATGAAAAGGAACAATGATATTGCACAACTTCAGGTCTCTTCCCAGATTTTGGCCCATGGAATTAGGTCTGTATGAATTCAGCAAAAAGTTGTGTCCGGGGAAACACGCAGCAATTTGAGTGACTCTAGCACTGCAGCCTGCTTTCCATTCCTTCTGCCTGCTAACCTGGGGTTCTTCTCTAAGAGAGCAGGTTGCTGTCAGCTGCAGGAATAATAAATACATCAACATGTTGATTCTACATTTTGCTGACCAACCCTTCAAAAATTATCCATAACACACACAATTCTTCTACGTTGTAAATACACCAAGTCTTCAAAGTACTTGAGACTTTAAAGACAACTTGTTGTATCAAGTACTGAAACTACATATGGAAAACAATCAGAACGTTCCCTGATTTGTTGTGGTTAACTTGAGATTGCATCTCATTTTGCAAGACCAGGACTTCTCAATGTATCAGCGTTGCACTGAATGTGTAAAAGTCACAGTAGGGTGTGTTAAGGAGAAAAATAAAATAAAAAGAAAAAAAAACCCATGCTAAGTGGATAAAAGTTCTTTACAGCTACAATCTTTGCTAGACCATCTCTTAACAAGCACATGCTGCTGGCTACAGAAATCAGCTAATTGTGTCATTCTGGCTCGAGCAGGACTGTTTCCCCCTCAAGTGCGAGTATGACAGTCTGTGTTTATATAAACTTTGTATTTATGTGCATAAGAAAATATATCTTTCTCCTTTCTGGTGGACTGAGGTGTCAGCCAGCAGGGCTTAACAGATACATTTAATACAGGAGACCGAGATACAGTATGTTTATTCTTAACTTCTGATAACCTAAGAACTACAGGAACGAGAGATGCAGTATCCGTTTGCTGTGATCCAAGACAACCATTTTTAGGGAGAAAGAAGTAGAATACGTGACCCACACTCACACTACATTAGTTCCAAATATTTTTTTTCCAGTCATGGGAGCTTAACTATTTCTTGCACATCTGGCCCACTTTTAACCTGATCAAGTTAAAGGTGACATATTAAAGTTTAAGGACTGTTGTTTCATCAAAACCCAAGCAAGTTAAAAAAAAAAAACAAACAAACCAAAACAAAACACCAAGAAACCATAATTTCACTGTAGAACTTGTTTCATATCTTCAGATTCCACATCACTTGTAGAAAAGGGATAATGCATCTCAGTTTGCTTACAAGCTAGGAGTCACTTTGAAGTCTGCATATTCCTAACTGCAAACAAAATATAGCACTTTTAACAGGTTATAAATAAACTGGTTTTCAAGCATAGAGCCAGCCCAACAATAACAATACACTATTAAAAAGACCTAAGGCAATGAATTCCATCTCCAATGGAAAAAAAAGAAAAAAAAGAAAAAAAGGGAAAAAGAACTGTGCAAACAAGCTTAAAACTATTTCTTTGTGCCAGTGTTATAAAATGTAGATTTCAATAAAGCCTTGACCCAAATGCCAGGACTTGTGAAAAGAATCAGAACAAAACTGGTTACTTTATTTAGGAAAAAAATACTCTTATCTTTCTGCTAATAAAATTGGATACACGCAGTTTAAACATTTACAGTTGCTGTAACACTTTACACAATTCCTATATATGGGTGTAAGAACAAACATTAAAAGACAATGGTGGGTCAAGGCTTTACATTAAAAATAACAACCTACTTTTCTATAGTCTCTAAAATACTATGTTTTTTTTCCAATATTTGCAGCCATTCAGGAATATTTTTTATTTATTTATTAGGAAATGTATACTTTGTGCATGATCTTAATTCCTAATTCCTGGCTCTTTGGGCTGAATGACAAAAGGATCAAACCCATTGAAGTGGATGGTCTCCTTGAAGGTTCAGTGGAGAAACCCCGGCTCAGTTAGTCTCGTATGATGAAAGCAGTGCTGCATCCACTGGCTCCATGCAGGATGGACAGGTAAAGGATCTCATCAACCAGTCATCTATACAGTCCAGGTGGTAAATGTGCATGCACGGCAGAAATCGGATAGGGTCCCCATAAACAAAGTCCATCATACAAATGACACATCTGGAGGAAGAAAAAAAAAGAAATCAAAAATATTTAAGCTGCTGTTACCCCACTGGAAATGAAGATTTCTGAGGTATCTACTCCTGGATATGTTTGAGTCCAACAAACTTTTAGTACTTGTAGATGCTGTGAGAAGTTCTTAGCTCCGTCAGTGCTGGCTCCACCAAGCACTAGATTTATTTTTAACTTTTCCTTTGTAATTCGTGCCCATGGTTACAACGTCAGTGAGCACAGCTCAGCAGAGTGCATGAAATTAGAAATAGTAAAAGGGAGCCATAAAGGTGAGGAACTAACATGAAATTATTTCCCTGTGAAGAGAGGATAAAGAAGAAAAAAAACCTATAAAGGCATGAATGACATAGGTGGGGAAAGTTTCACCTGTAAAAGGAAAACAAGGATAAAGGCAAGAGCCTTCTGTATCCATCATAATTTTTTTCAGAAAGCGACATTAAATTAGAGTCCCTGAAAATAAGGCAAAAACAGGAGGACAAGCTCAGGCTTCCCAGGGCAGCGTCATAAACAGCAACAGCCACGTGAGCTCAGTTAGGTTTCTGTAACTTACTCTCTGATCTTCTTCTCGGAGCCGTCTCTTCCAGGATCATAGACTCCTTTAGGTAGATGCTGAATAAGGCCTATCCTCTGCGCTATTCTGATCTGTTCCTCTTCTGTCAGCTGTGTTGCTAGCCGAGTCTGGCTAGGAGTCGGGTGATAAACAGGAACAGGGACCTGCTCCTAAAATTAAAGTATTTCAGTTAAAAAAACCCCACAGAGGCTTTCCTGGCATTTGTAGCACAGTACAGGCAATGGTTTTAACTTTTCCTCTCTTAGTCCTACAAGCATTGGTGTGATTTCCCACTCCTACTTGGTAATTTTGGGGCCATAATTATATTGAGAATGGGATAAAGAATTGCTCAGTGTCTTGAGCAAGGACCTGCTCGTGGTTGTTCTCTGCAAAAGCTTTTTATCTCCAGGAATTGTTCACACATGAAATACACGTGCAACAAACTCCACACAACAGCAGGTCAATAAACATGACAGGCTCCTGGTGAACTGCCAAGATACTGAATTGAACAACGTAATGGCTGAGGGAGAGCCCCCCATCTTTGCAATAAAAAGTAGATTTATTTTTTTACATTTGGGAAGAATTATTTGCAAAGATGAGGACAGTGCTTACTCTTAAAAGTTTTAGAGAGGAAGGTTTTATTAGTTCTGCAATAACTAAAATTTATGTGAACTGTTCTAGACCACACAAGCACCAATCCAGAACTGGAGGTTGAATTCTTGTGTGTTTAAAAAAACATCACCTGGACAATTAAAAAAAAACAAAAAAAAATAGCTGAAGTAAGTAATCCAAGTTTACATTTGTTCTCATACTTTAATATGATTTTACAAGTTCTTCCAAGCTGGACTTGAACTGCTGTATGTTTAAAGTATTTATTTTCCAAACAAAAAATAGGCAACATGTAGGTATTATGCAGTCCCTCGTCTGCCACGTTCTCAGAAGCTTCTTTTGAATATTAATGAACTTTAGATCAGATATTTTCACTAACATTTATATTAACACAGAACTTATTTATTGGATCTAAATACCATCAGGAGATATTATTAGGACAGTGTTGCCAGTAGCCGCACCTCTACTGTTAACAGGGAGACAATTTCTTACAATAGGCCTATTTTAATGGTACTTCTCAAACAGCAGAAAAAATTTCCACTGACAGAAGTGTTCTGAAAAATAAAAACCTGGTGCATCAGAGACACAATAGCATCGATTCATCTGTTTGAAAAATGCTAAAGTTGATGTTTCAGAGGACAATGCTGCAAACCAAGCAGACTGCAGGAGCGTGCAGCTGCACCGCAGAAGCGCTGACGCAGCGCCCACCACCTCCAACAAAGCTCCCACTGAACTCCAGCTCGCCCAGCACCGACACGGGGACACACGGGCTTTCACCGTCTGTGACAGAGCAACCACCTTCTGAAACCTGTGTGTCCTCATGGAGTATGGACTGCTCCTGCTGGAGCGGGCAGCTCCAGGTACTTCCAGCAGCAGGAACGCAGCTGCCTTCCCTGCCCTGTTCCCTCCTGGCCCGCCCCAGCGATGGCCTAGCACAGTGTTCGGGGCTCAGCCACACCAGCGCCTGGCACACTCCAGATATGGGCATTCACACGCCGAACGCCGCGCTGTAAAACCCGATAACGCGGTTCTCCTTTCACAGCTGGGGAGCACGGCGAGCGGCCTGACAGACAGGACCCCTGGAAGGCCAGGAGAAGGCAGCCCGAGGGGCACGCAGCCGCCAGCAGCAGAAGTCCTTGCTTATATTGAAGAAGTACTAGTCAAAAAATAAATTTGCCTGGCAATTCTTCCTTTAACACAGTGCCTACCACTTGCAGTTCAGCTGGGGGGTAAAATTCAGAGTCTTCTTTCATTTAGCTACACGAGGATTTCCCCCTCTCATTTCCTAGCAGAACTCAGAGAAATTAATGAGAAGGTTCAAAAGACCAAATGCCAGTGGTTCTGTAAGTTTGATTAATTTCCTGACTACTTTATACTGTATTTCACAGAAACACAAGATTTCTTCTAGATCAGCTGCCTTTTAATGGTTTAAATTACCTAAAGTATTCTCTAATCATTCTTTGGATAGGGAAAAGCACCAGCTGAATACAGGGATGACCTGTCGGATACAGCAGGACTCATGAAGTAGCTCTGCAACCAGCAGTGCCAGCAAAATACACCATGTTTCCCCTCCCAAAAGCTGCAGACCCTGTGCTCTGAACACATCAGCCCAGGGCAGAGCCCAGCCCTGGTTTTATATTTCAAGAACTTAACACCACAAACTATCGGTAACTTTTTTTCCTTCCCAAAGCTTTGCTATACTTCTTTGGACATGCAATTGAATCAACAGCAGAAGACACTACTGCTAGCTCCTTTATTTATCTGTCACAAAGACATACAGAACACTTGGCATTTGGAGAGACATCCACCCTCCTTCCCATCTTAGAAAAAAAGAGGAGCAGGGCAACTAAACCGCACGCACGGCACAGGCTGGAGCTAACGAGAGCAGGTTACTGTAGGTAACACAGCTCCCCTTGGCAAAGCCAGGGCTGACAGTGAGAACGCAGAGATACAAGGAAAGGCAAGAACAGGAGGAAAAGAGATCCAAGAAACTCTTAAAGTGTCTGAAAGTAGCAGTGACAACTGACAGCGAGTGTCTGTAGCAGAAGAACAGCGAGCTGATCATCGCAGCAGAAGTGATACAGCAAAAGGAAACGACAGTTCCATGTAATCTGTTGTGAGTTGGAAGTATCCCACTTGGACAACTGAAATAAGAATTGGTCACGATATCCAACCAATGACTGATTCGGTTCAGTTTTGGACAGTAAATTAACACAACTTTTAAGCCTGTAATAGGCCAAACAAGAAGGAAATTGTTCCAGTCTTTTACAGGCACTCGCTGTGAGCGACCAGCAGTGCCCCTCTCCCAGGGGTGTTGTCTTCCTCACAGAGACCTGAAGAACCAGGGCCTGATGGACCCCCAAGGCCCCTTTCCATGCCAAATACACAAATGCTTTCCCGACCGCCAGCGCTGCCTGGAAACACTCCTCCTTTTGGCATCGTGTCTCGGGTTCCCTCCCAGCAGAGCCACCACCCTGCGCTCCACGTCTGACATAACCGATTAAGGCAGGAATTTATAGTTGCCAGCTGTGGGCTTCTACAATTTCACATACTAGACAAGAATCTCTTGTCAGATGAGTAACTCTGGGTGAAAATGGTGCTGTCTTTCACCATGACGTTTTCATTCTTGTGAATATAAAAAACTGGGGTTGGTGTGGCTGCCAAGCCATTGTGAAAAATACATAAATTGTACTACTGTAAATAAAACTGGTGACTGCTCGGTACCCCTGACCCGGTGCACTTCCTTAACACGCTCTCTGGTGGCCCTTGAATCTCGCCTCCCAGTGACTATTAAAAGCCTGCCCAGAGCGAGCAATCCACTGGATACAAACATACCAGTAAAGTGGAAGAACACAGCCATACACATTGCAGAGAGTCAAATTATAGGGTACACCAACAATGACCTTTTCAAACCAGTCCACTCCCCTCCCACAGATAAAAAAAGAAAAGGTGTGTTTATACCTGTATGATTCTAAAAATATTTTAAACCATTTATTCACGAGAATGTGAGAGCCCAGATTTCTCTCAGTTTGCTGAAGTGACATTTGCTATCCCCAGAGGGGTCAGAGATGGAGCAGACTGGATGAAGTGCTCCCTCAACCAGACCCTGACCACCATCACCCACCAGTGGGGCTGGGCTCCTGCAGCCCCCAGCAGCCCGGCTGGCCCTGCACGCAGCTGCATCCTCTGCTTTCTCCACTACCAAATCTCTGAAGCATTTTTGGAAGCTAAGCTCATCTGACAGTAATTTCAAGCTGCCCGTTGAGGACAGAGCGCAGCCCTGCCTGGGCGGGTTTATCACCCCTTTGCAAATCTGCCACAGTTTATAATGGCTGCTTTTATCAGCCCACGTCAAGGCAAGGTCCCACTCACCCCAGCCTGGGTATTCAAGGGTAACGACGTGAAGATTCGAGACTTCAGTCAACTTACATTTGTAGCTAGAGGCCCCCTGACATGTATATATATATATATAAAAGATTGTATTACCCAAGTAATTATTATTTTACTCCAAAGATGAGCAATGAATTTATTGCTCTGGCGTCTTACTTATCCCTTATCTACCATGGAAAATGTTTTTGCAGACAAAATTACGAAATACTGAACTTCTAGCCAAAGTCTGTGTTATTTATCATTTGATAAAGATGTCAGGCCTTTCAAATGAAGATGAAATTTCATGTTAACTCTATTCCTCCATGAAAAAAAAAAAAAAGGCCAAAACATATTAGTGTCAGGCAATGAAATAAAAATAACTTTCTGGCACTTAATTTGCTTTAATCAATTATTTTTTCCCCCATATGAATTTAGTAATGATGAAGTATGTGGTGTCAGCACAAGTTTCCCTGGCTTTCTGTGCACAGAAATCGTTCTTTCCTAATGTTTATTCAGCCCTTCAGTAACAGCATTAACTGAGACTCAAGGACTGCAGCAGGGTTTGTACCTCCATCTCACCCCGGCTCCTCCTCCTCTGGGAGGGGGGGATCATAGAGGGCATCTGGAGGGCTGCATTTTTCATTTCTAATGAAAATAAACATTTTCATACATGGCTTAAAAATGCCCCCCACACTGTGTTTCTGCCTGCAGCTTCCCAAGCACGTTTTGGGTTCTCACCTAGAAAAAGGAGGTTTCTCATCAATGCAAACTTACCTTGGTTAGTTGTGCTGCTGGAAATCTGCTTTTCTCTTGTTTTACAGCATTTTCATTTTGGTTTTGCAAGTGCAATGAATTTGTAATACTCTGAAAACAGGTCAGTGGTAGATCAGAAACTCTTAATCCCTGGATAAAGATTATTTTAAGATCCCTCTACACCACATATCAGCACTATGTTATCAGGGATTTTATTTGTTTGTTGTTTTTAGTAATTTCTCCAACATGCACAAATTATCCTTTCGGGAAGGTCAAAGGTGAATGAATAATTCGTATCATCTAATAGTTCCAGAGACTGGAGCTTCACCACTGTCCCCGAGATCCTGTCTCCACCCATCTGCTTTCTACTCTTGACCACTTTGCTCAGTTTCCATCTCTAAATTTTCTTCCTCATCTAATCCAATGCTCTCAGTGTCTC